AGTCCTAACTATCAAGGCTAGCACGGTGTCCGTCCGTCCGTCACACGAAACGCTCAGATTTTAAACCATTTTCATCGGCTGTCGAGCGGAGCGAAGGCGACTCCAATTTGTTAAAACTGTATTGTGTAGCTTACATCATTAAATTCATGTGGTTGACAGTGTACATATTGAGATTTGCACGAGGCTATCCATTATCCCAAGGCGGCACCATTTTAATACTACGACGTATTAATTTTTACATTTTCACTGATGCATGTTGCTTATTTGAGTGCTAACCAGAGCTACTTATTCTCAAATGAAATAGCTCCTAAAGACGCCTCCAATGCTGCAAGGTGATTAGGCTACACGTAGGAGTGCGAGTTCTGAGGACATACTATTAATATACGTAATACTCTGTACTTAATAGTTTCTGCAAGTTACAATGACGATAATAACTACAGCTGTTTTGATGTAGAAATATTAATAAATTATCTGAGAGTGAGGTGACTGAACTGCCAAATCGTAGTACATCTACAGCAGAAGCTAGCCGTAAGAACTGGCCGTAAGAACAACGCTGTGGTAATAAACGCTGTCACTTGATCCATAAAGATAGAAAGTTTTAGATTGAACAAAATGAACTCGTATGTGTTACTGCTGTAAGCCATTGTTTTCTAAGAGTTGTTTAGACTGCAAAACCCGATACTACATAACTGGCGGACGTGTCGCCGACAGGGGCGTACGATACGATTTTAAATGGAGCGGTAAGACAACAACAAAACACGAGAAGTGCTAATTCAAGTTGGCTAAGTAGACCCCATAAGAAACGTTAACAAACTTGGAGCCTAAATGACGTTTAATAATCCTGAATTTATCGATAACTATCAAAAAAAAAGCACTACCGTCAAGAACAACAACAGCTAGGCGTCTTGCGACGCAGTAATTAAACGATTTAATCATAACTGGCACAGAATCGAGTGTCTAATGACTAATTCTGAATCAGCACAAAATGAACGCTGCATTCATAAAAAATTACAATTTGAATAGTTTCTAGCTTTCATTGAGTTTTGTCTGAAAAGTGAACAATCTTTAGTTACTTACTGTACAAGCTCAAATAGGCAGTACAAGCGGGTAAGTAGTGCAAGCTGGACAGACCATTACTATCATTGAGCTAAGTTTCATAGTGGCTCAGAAATGGCCCGTGACATCGAGCACGACGCTAACTAAACTATTGTGTAGCGTTTGTATAAATTTTATTTGAAGTGCAGGTGGTTTTGGGTGGAAGATGAAGATACAGTGATAGCTAGCAATAATGAAAAATTGCATCAGGAATCTTGATTCAAGAGAATATTTTTAATAATTTTTAATCAGGAAATATGATGCTGACCCAAATAAATAAAATAAAAAAAACAATTTAGGTAGTTTTTTTTAATAATTATCCGGCCAAAGCATATATTTTTATTCCTAAACTACCGCCGCGTAGCGGCGGCACTCGGCTAGTCATATTTAATTAACAAACTCGCAACACAAACACGGTGCAAGTCGCTGGGTTCAATAACCTCTCTCACGTACGCAATATGGCAGGCATTGCTGAAGCGGTAGGATATTTTGTCTGCGCTGACTATTAATGAAAAATGATTGTGACTGCAAGATTGGCTATATTGCAACAATTGATTGTTCTGAAAGCAAAATTACTTATTCAAAACTACCAGTATTACGGACAAATCGCTATTGCTAAGAACGCACAGACTCGTTTTTTTGTACAACGATGACTAAACCCTGCAAGCAGTCGCTGCATGGTTTGGAGCCATTGAGATAGTAGGAACAATTAAGAGTATATGACGCAAAGGATGCTTGTAGCCGTTGTGAGTCGATGAATGGAGACTTGAAAGCGAATATGTATGAGTTAGAAGCCTTAACCCTCTATCTCCTCCTCCTTGTACTACTTCTACATCCTTCTCATACACTTAGTAGACAAAACGGCATCTGGAACACTTTGTTGGGACGGGGGTGTCACGATTATACCTAACGTTTCTATGCGGAGCTGCGACTTAGTAGCTAAACTGCATTGCGAACGCTTAGCTGGGATGGGAGTGCCGGTCGCGAATGAATATCGATGCAAATCTGCCACTTGTCACGACAGTTGAAGTCAACCGCCCACGACAGCGAAAGATCCACCAATGACATCACCCGCTTCGAGACCACGTCTCCATACTTCTTCACCCCTGGGTGGAAGGGATCCGAAGGATCTTTCAGGATCACTGATCCACTTCGCGCGCAGTGCATTCTTGTTTTTCTCCACAACGAAGGAAGAGCTCAACTCTTCCCTATGTCTAAGTAAAGCGTCCTAAGTAAAATTGCAGAACTTCAACGCCTTGTTGAACCTGACAACAGTCATCTCGTTCAGCACTAGTGAAGCATCAACAGCGGGTAGAGCATCAAGGCTAATGATGCCTTCGTCCTCTCCCATCTCTCCATTCAGATGTATCCTCTCCAGCCGGAAGACATCAAAAAGGTGGAACAGATTATCAATCGTCGAATCGTATGTACGAAGTCGAAGAAGCAACGATATCGACTTGCGGAAGAAATCGAGTCGACGCACTGAGTCTCTCCAAGATGACCGCCGTATTTGACGCCGCGAGGAGAGGATAAGCCGTAGGAGCGAAAGGTAAAATCGCAGGGTCGCATTCGATGAGGCATATTCAGAAGTAGATGATTTTGCACCGGCGGCCACCGTGTTCGTTTAGCTCAGAAAGCAAGTGGAGTAACCAGGATCGGTCCAGTGGCTACGGCTCGGTGGGAGATTGGGACTACAAGGACGCTTGCGAAGCCTTAGAACCGTCAGGCGAAACCGGGGGCCGACCGTAACGACTCCAATAGAAGTCATGGCAACTCAGCGAGTCGACCTCCGCGTCCTTATGACCGTCGAGATCAGTCAAATCACTGGGATGGTCCACGTCGCAAGTCGCATTGCGGACCTAACGCACCTTGCGGAAGGCTGAGGCACTTAGCTCAGTTATGCCGACGACGCTGCAAGTCCTGCAAACAAGGCTACGAAGTCGGCTAATGTGAGTTGTTCTGTCGATACGAAAAGTTGGCCATGTTCGAGAAGAATTCCGTCGACAAGTCATAAGTACCAGAAGATCTGCAAGACCATTATACGCCGAGTGATTTAGCCTCGGCGGCCCGTAAACACTGACTGGGTTGGCAATGCCGGGCCGCCACAGCTAGTTTACCGTGCAAGCGAGGCAAACGTCTTGTTCCCCTTTGTAGACGAATCCGGGCAGCCTGAAGAGGGAAGCGGGGTGGCAATTGGTTATGCGAAATCAACGGTATTGAGCGTAGCAGCTGTGAAGGTGACACTAGGCTGGGAAGTAGCATTCGAATTCGTGGTATGCGTCATTCTCACCACGCCGGTGCCGACCTAAATCTTGGCACTGACTTTATGAAACTGGATGGTCTCCGTCTGGATATGCCCATCTTGTCTACCCGGCCACTGGATGAGATGGTCGCACAGCTCATCTTGTCGAACGATTCGCACAGACTCTAGCGTCAGCTCAGCTTCAAATTGCATCCGAGTACGTTGCATATCCAGCCGTGGAGTATCTTGTTAGGATCACGATATAATGTTCGCAGTGGGCTTGCGTCTTCCGCCAGCGTTCATTAGGGAGACGACGTTGTCTTCAATTCTCTGCCGAGCCCTTGACTCGGCGCTTGCGCTGGGCCTTCGATGGACTCGAAACTCTGCTTTCTTTGGAGCTAATGTTTGGTCAGTGAGAATAGCAAAATGCTTTGCGGCTACCATTTGTTTAAGCTGTAAGCTCCATGCAGCCTAAAGCCTTGTCGTTTCAAAACAAAAAAAGTAGTAACTTTCATTATCAGGACAAGCTGAAATGTTATCCACCAGCTCACTCTAAACCACTGTAGTGAAGTATACCTCGAAATATTAACAAGAAGTGTGCTTGCATTGTTACATATAGATCGAGAAAGAAGGCATCGCAATAGCGCTCTCTCAGCAAGGTCCGGAGTAGCAGTAAACGTTTGCTGCAACTTCGGCCTAGCTTTAACGCTTCGACGAATTGACATGTGGAAGTATATGATAATACATTTTTAAGTAATTAGATGGCAAAGCGTAGTCGGCTAAAATCAATTTGCCGACTGCACTACCTTGTATTTTTTTTCCAGCCCCTTGGGTATTTTCTCGTTGAGATTATGTAGGTGTTCGTATGCAGAGTTCAGCTGTAGTCTGTTTATATCGAAAAAATGTTAAAGATGTTTGAGGATTGAGAGTGCTTCACGCTCTAGCGCAATGGTTAAACCTTGAACGTGATGCTAGCCTTCAAAAACTTGGGAAAAGATCATGTAGTCTGATCGGTGAGTCACTTGCCGGTACCAGGCGCATAAAAAAGCTAAGCCTTTTTTGGCCTGTACAGAAGTGTAGCGTAAATTCATCCTACTGTACATACAATTTGTTTTCACCAGTTCGCCTCGACTTTTACAAAACCATTGGCGTTAGATTCACTTCTACTGAGCATACTGTCCCTCCCGGCACGAGCGTAAGCGATCTAGATTTAGAAGCTCAATAAATAAATAAAAAATAAATTAGACTTGTATTCATGAAGGTCTGCTAAACATGTAGCTAATCTTCTTCGTGCAAAATCGCTATGTCTTATACATGTACATGTAGCATTCCAGCCGTGGACCGCGATTATAAAAGTATCGAAAGATGATGTTCACGAGATGGACAACGAAAAGAATATGAGATGATAAACAATTTAGGTTTTGGACGCTGAGGGTTCATGAGCAATATAAGCCCACCGACGACTAGGAAAATGACGTTGTAGTTTTTGAATTAGTGGATCCGTCAATTGACCTCATGAATTGTAAGATTTCAAGTATATTACTGTACCGGTAGTAATTAAAAGTGTAACTTCAAAGTAGTGCTATATACGAAATATTCCATTCAATATAAAATACTTGAGCAGCCATGCCCGGTTGATCCACTAAGGGCATGGCTGCATCTCTCATGACCCGTTGTAGCGCGAAACAAAGTCACCAAACCCGGGGACAATGCTGTCTGAGTGTGGGTCTACTGCGCCATCGATCGCACCCGTGATAATCTTCACCTCTATAATTGTGCAAATAAATTCATAAGAAATTTTAAATTCCATACACAAGCCACAAGTCTGCACTTCTGAAGTCCAGCTTAGACAAGAAAAAAATGCTTACGTGGGTAACGGCTGCTGATGCTGACGATCCCGTCCGAAGCCACTAGAATCACAACCAGCGAGATGCTGCGCTCGTCGCAGCCGACACTACACAAAGCCTGTAAAAACACATAAATGAATCTCCAAAAAATACAGCAGAACCAGTTCTACCTTGGTCACGCACCTCGATGGCCTTGCATTCTGCATTGCCCGTGCTACATGTAGAGGAGAACAGCAGCACTTTATGCTGGACGATGTTGGCCGGTAGGTCCATGTGATCCAAGCGCCAAACACGCTTGCCCTGTCGATCTGTCTCCACTTGAACATGAATCGAACCTTGAGGGGCTTCTGGTTCCATTTGGTGGAAGAGTACGAGGAACGGGAAGCCTTCTGTACCGATCGCCACACCACAAAATTGGTGTTTCAGTCCCAGACCCCGGTACAGATGGCCAGTGCCTGTGACCACCTCCACACTGCCAGTGCCTAGCAGTCCTAAGGTTTCCTCCAATAAGATCCTTTATTAAAAAAAACATAATTAGTAAAAAGTAAAAAAAGCAAAAACGCAAGCTACGCACATGATCAATCGACCTGCCACGCGACGAAAAGTGGCGCCATTCGACCGCTTGTCCCGTAGCATAGTCATCAGTAGCAGCACCGACTTGGCACGCACTTGATGCACCCTCATCTCGACATCTGGTGGCGCGATAAAATTATCGGCACGATCACTAAAAAAGCATAAAGAGTAAAGTTAGAACCGTCTAAAAATAACATATTGACACCTTTTTTTTCTTACATTTCCTGGGCAGATTGCACCAGTGAATTGTAGCGCGAGAGGATCTCGAATCGATTCTTCTTGATGTGGCAAATAGCCGCCCTCGTCACGCCAAACTCTCGCGCCAAAGCTGCTTGTTTCTCCCCGTTTTCGATGCGTTTGATAATGTTGCGTCGGTCGGTATCACGCAGATATCGCACGCGCTTTTTCTGCGCCTTCTGTGCCGACGCGTCGTCCTCCACGACCACAACTTGGTTCTGAGCCTCGTTCTCGGCGTCTTCGATGACGGACGGGACGTGGCTGTCCTCCGGTTCTCTAGACTCTTCCGTTTCCGTTGCCATAGAAGGCGAGTTCCTCCTCGTCCGCGGCTCTACCGGAGCAGGCATTGACGACGTCGTGTCTGGTGTCTGCTGCGCTGCTGGCAGAGTCCTGTCTGCGCCCGACTCGTCCGAGACTCGAGGCGGAGGGTAAGACGAGGACCGAGAATGAGTTTCTACGGACAGCGGCGGCTGGTGCCGACGCTGTGGAGTCCTGTCGGACACAACTCGCTGTCTCTTGCTCGCGTTGTGCCCGTCTAACGTCTCGCTAGTCGCGTGCTCTTCTCCCCATGGTCTTTGCCGGTTTGGCTGCAGATTTTGCGTGAAAAACTCGCGTGCGAGGCGCTGTCTTTCCATTAAGTTGCGGTGGCGCTCGCGTAGCTCTTCGTAGAAGGCAGCACGGTCGTAATCGACTGCGCTCTGCTCTTCCTGGTCGCTGTAGCGCGCAGTGTAGGACGTTGCGATGTCGTTCTCGTAACGCGGTATTTGACGCCGAGTAAACGTCGAGCTCGGGAGTGTGTTAACGTCCGTGTTGGAGCTTCCGACGCCACGCCACTCCTGCGCACGAAGTGCTGCGGCGGCGTTGGCCAGACTGCGCGCTACGGAGGATGCGCGTGTGTGCGGGGGGCGCGTGTGGCGTGGAGACGCCATGACTGAAAATGAAGATTTCGCTATGTTTCGTGCCCTGGAAATCTTGACGGGCCATATGGGAAAGGGGAGATTTTTGACTGCGTTTAAGTATGGCTCAGAGCTTTGGAACAGGCGGAGAGGCTGTTGCGTCAGTGCTTAGAGGGATTCAGCGGAGGGACAATTGTAGCTTCAACCCGGGATAACTGGATTTCGTCTAATGTGATACATGTATGTACAGTCGTCTGTACATGTAGTCCAGTTACCAGACAGTAGCAGAGTTTGAAACGTGTTGAGTCGGTGAATGCGCATTCGCTGGTACAGGAGCAGATCGATATATGAGCTTGTCTATTGATGTCTTCATGCGGTTTTACTTATACTGCCGATTGATAAGGCAGACACGCGTTTCAGACGATTCCTAATTCCTCACCTCTTGGGGTAGAGGAGTGGGATATGACAACAGATATATGTGCAGTCGACTGCAGGGCTGCGAGATACTGTACTACTGTGACCGTATGAGCTTGTTTGCAGTTCACTTGTTTGATAAGTTACCATTGGTAACTAACTACATGTAGTCCAGGGTAGGTTGGATTGAGCACCGTTGCACTAATGCCGCTACTGAATTATGAAGGGAAGGAGATGATGTTCTACAGTATATTGTGCATGCATCTGCATGTATTGTGGAGGCGTAAATACCCGCTGCTAAAATCAGATAAATAGCTCTGGAGAGAATAAAGCTCTTTGTATTGCCAGCGTACTCATCTTACGATCAACTGCAGGCTGTGCATGCTTTGTGTATTGGATAAGTTACAGATTGGTTACCGGCTAAGGGCAGCAAACAGTGGTTCTTATAAACTGCGAGCAAATATAGCTTCAGTGCTTGCTGGACATTGGGTCAGGGGTTGTAGCTCTGGCCATGGAGGCGTACCAAGGTAGTCGCCCACGTGGCTGTTGTCGTTACGACCGCTTATTGTTCGCGATCCTCGGCTGCTGCTTTTTTGTTGCCGCTTACGCTTTCTTTTGACTTCGTAACATTAGCGTGTTTTTTTTCTTCTTGGAAAAACCACGTCTCAAATTACAAAATATACTCATGGCACTCAATTGACAAAATTTCGCGCGCTGCCGGCCATACCACCTCAATGTATGCACTACGTTTTAAAGATCATCCATTGGAGACCATGATACACGAATGTAAAGAGAACGTTGGAGCCGTTCACATGTGGTATGGTGTTCTGTAACCACATCGAAAAAATGGTCCGTGGACTATCCCCATCTTGGTGCGTATTTTTGTCACCTACACAATCCGCGCCTTTGACGCTTGGGAAAAGTTTAGCTCCACATAACACAAAACGCCACCACCACAGCGAAGCACACAACTTCTTTGGTATCTATAAACTTAGGTAAGTGGTCTTGCTACGCTGGACAAGTCTACAATTTTCTAGGCCAAGGTAGACGGATCCGTTCATGACAACGCAAGAACGAGATCCGCTGTTGTCCCGCAGCAACAACGAGCGTCTCGCACTGCAAGTTGAAGTTTCCGACGACCGCCAACCAATGCAACAACCTCTAGGCGAGTTCATGCCGCTGCATGCCGAAGCTGCATTTGCGACGCCGCAGGACCGTGACAAAGACGGAGAAAACGAAACAAAGACCGAAGACAATGAAGATGGCAATGAGGACAACAACGCACCCCATCAAAAGCAGAAAAAGCGTGTCCGGTATCTGTGCGATGCCGACCGCCACACTATCATCAAACGCATTGAAAAGGGAGAGAAACAGGCAGATCTGGCACGTGAATATGGCGTCACCCGGGCAGCTATTTGCCACATTAACAAGAACCGCGAGGAGATCACCTCGCGCTACGATTCGCTCATCAGACAGGCGCAGGAAATCCATCGGAGCGAGAGCTTTGCCGACCCACCGGAAGAGAATTCGATGGTCCGAGAGATCCGATCCAGCTCCGTACTACTGCTCATGACGACACTACGTGACAGACGATCAGGGCCGCAGACTTTCCGTCGTGCCGCTGGGAGGCTCATAATGTGAGTATGACAGATGCACCAGTCCACGAGAATAGTATCGTGTTAATTGTGGTGGTGGTTCTGACTTGCAGGTTGTTGCTGGAGGAAGCACTCTCGGTCATTGGCTTACATGCAATCGAAATGACTACAACTACAGGCCACGTGACGTATGGGTTGGAGCGGACAGACGAATTTTGCGGTGTAGCCATCGGTGCCGCAGGTTTCCCGTTCCTTGTGTTATTTCACCAGATGGAGCCTGACGCGTCGCAAGGTTCCATTCACGTAGAAGAGGAGACAAATGGGCAAGGAGCGAGTGTCGTTAGCTTGAGTCACGTAGACTTGCCGAGTGACATCGCTCGGTACAGAGTGTTGCTCTTCAGCTCGACAGTCAACAAGGGCGAAGCTGAGTGCAAAGCTATCGAGGCGCTCCTAAACCTGGGCGTTGAGGAAGATCGAATCACGCTGGTAATCATATTGTGCTCTAAGGACAGCCTCGAAGTTATCTGCAACCGCTTCCCAGGTATGTCGAGGATTCTGTCAAGCAGGTTGCGACCACTAATGCCACTTTATGCTGACAGGAGTACGGATAATCACGAGCGGAATCGACTGCAAGGTCGATCCGGAGACACACGCGATTGTCCCAGGTCTTGGTGACTTCGTAACGAGATATAACGGCGATTGCGAAAGCTAAATAGGAGCGAGTAAACAGCAATAGGAAATGCGCAGTTGTTACAGACACCAATTTCATTACTTTTTTTTATTTTGTTTTTACTTCCTTATTATTTTTAGACAATATATATATTAGGTTGAAGTTGTTGGAGCGACTATTCGACTGGTGAAAGATACGACGATGGACTCGATTGTGCTGCTGCAAGCTGTCGCGGGTGTGGCACGCACTGTTCGATCGCTGTACGGTCCTAATAAGCTGCGCAAGCAGGTCACAGGTATATACTTTGCGTCTTGCTCTGTGGTCGTCATCGTGCTAACGTGTATGTGCACAGATGAGCTGGATCAGACGTTGTTCTCTGCAGACGCGTATACTGTGGCGAGCGCACTGCAGAGTCAGAATGCAGGCACCGCCATCCTGCAGCAAGCGCTGGATGAGCAGCGGAAAGAGTTCGGCACGGTACGTGAACGTTTGCGATGTGTTTGTAGCGTTGGCTGACGAGGTCGTATGTGTTCAGAGCTGTACGACGATAGTGACGTTGTGTGGCGCGTTGGCAGACACAGTTCTTGAGCTCCTGCGTCAGGGTGTACCAGCGTAGGACTACTCGAACCGAACACCTGGGTAAACTGTGACTGACAGCTTTGTAGTGGCGTTATCCAGCTTGCACTGTCTTCGGTCGAGAAATGCTGTTTAACGGTGAGATGGTATGCTGTTGTTGTTAGGTTAACCGTAAACTAAGAGCTAAAGTGCTGTAGACCGCCAAGCACTTGCGAATTCCTCTTACTGAAGCCGTTCCAACCTTCCGATCGTTAATTTGGACACGTCAACCGGAGGCTTTGGGGAAGATACTCAGCACTGAATCGATCGCCACGTCTTTGGCGGTGAAAGCGGCCTCGAGGCTTGATCCGATTCGGTTCTCTGGCGCAGAGGACACACCGCTTTCGGATCTCGTAACAAGTAGCGTCGTGCTTGGAGGTGTGACGTCAGCTAGTAGCTCTCAAGTGTTCGACGGTGTGCTGCTCCCCGTCACAGAAGGTTCTCCTCGTAATGCCTTGAGACGCAGATTTTCCCAAAGTGGCGAAATATCCATTACCGGAGGCATAGTCGTTCTTGCCGGAGACCTGGACACTCTTGACTTCAGTATGGACGCTTCCTTTCACGTCATCTTTGTGCACGGTGACGTTAGCTCAAACGTGATCGACGCATCTGTGTCTACTCCCAAGGCTCCGCTCATTATCCCAGTGTCTTCCTACAGTGCGCGTCGTAATTATAGCCGCACCTGAAAAATAGAGCTCTTGCGCCAGAAACTGAGACCTGCCTGCAATCGAAGGGCTCGGAGGCCGTCTTAAAGGGATAGAAGACTTGTGCAGCAAGCAAGGTTGAAAACGACTAAGTCGGCTTGGAGCCAGGAGGCAAAATCTGGTTTGAGGTCGGGTCAGAATTATAGCCGCACTTGCAGGCTCTACATGCAAACGGCTCTAGTAACCCGTCTTAGCTCCTTTTAACAGCCGCGTCGCTTCCAGCCGCTTTGGGACGCTTCGCACTAGCTTCTTAACATACTCAGGATCAATGCGAGACCACTCTAACTTGATCTGTCTGATCAAGTCGGCAGGCTTGTCAAATTGGCGTCCGTTGGCGTACACCCGGCGAGCTAGAAGCCCCCACACGTTCTCTATGATGTTCAGATCGGGGCTTTTGGCAGGCCACGCCATTGGTTCGATGTTATGGGTGGCTAGGAAGCCCTTGGTGAACCTCGAGGCATGTATGGACGCGTTATCATGTTGGAAAATGGGGGTCAAATTGCCCAACTTTGGCCCCAGTTCTCTTAGGCATGGAAGCATGCCGGAGGTCAGTGTCTCGGTGTACTTGACAGAGTTCTGCTTCCCCTTGAGGAAGACCAGCTCGGTGTTGCCATGCCAGCTCACCCCCGCCCAGATCATGACGCTTCCTCCACCATTGACCCGCTTCGACATGAGTTTGGGCGCTGCTCGCAAGTCGTGCCAGTAGAATCTAAACCCATCAGGGCCATCTAGGTTGAACTTCTTCTCATCCGTGAACAGCACGCGTCTCCAAAAGACCCTTTTACCGGCGTAACGCTCCGCAAATGCTACCCTAGCCTTCTTATGATGCGGCTTGATGGCAGGGGTAAGTCTTCTCTTCGCGTACGTGACGTAGCGGTTGCTACGTAGTACGCGGAGTACCGTAGACTTGCTTGGTGTCGATGGGAGCAGTCCTGCGATCTCTTGGGCGGACAGGTTTCGAACAATTGCCAGTCGAACGACGCGTCTGGCCTCCCGGCCAACTATTTTCGGCTTTCTTCCTGTCCTCTTCGTCAGCGAGGACGCCTTCCCGCGCTTCAAGTAGTTCCTTATTGCCTTCTCGTCGCGTCCTAAGAGCCTGCCGATCTCTCGGTTGCTTTTTCCGCCTCTGTAGTGCTCGTTTATCATCATGCACTCCTCCTCGGTTAGCTGCTTGCCTCGTGGCATCGTTTCTGGCTTCCCTGCAAATCTAAGAATAGGTTCTAAAAGGTCTTTCACACGGCTGTCCACAGGTCTCATTTATTACATTTGAAAGTCAATCATTTTTGTTTATTACTTTACTGAATTTTAAATTACCAAGTGCGGCTATAATTCTGACCCGACCTCAAACCAGATTTTGCCTCCTGGCTCCAAGCCGACTTAGTCGTTTTCAACCTCGCTTGCTGCACAAGTCTTCTATCCCTTTAAGACGGCCTCCGATCCCTTCGATTGCAGGCAGGTCTCAGTTTCTGGCGCAAGAGCTCTATTTTTCAGGTGCGGCTATAATTACGACGCGCACTGTACAATGCACTACGGCAACTCGCAGAGATAAGTGGAGCTGAAATTGTGGACTCCTGGGAAGAGCTTTTGCCAAATGCCATCGGTCACGAGAGTCTCCAGCTGAACGCAGTAAACTTTTCCGTTAGTAAAGCTCTAGAGGACGACGAACTGGCAACCTGCTTCATACAGGTTAAGCTGTCCAATACACGACACCAACCCACACACCTCCGTCATTGTGCAAGGACCCACCAAATCTCTAGCTGAGGAGCTACGAAACGAGACTGTCAAGACGATTTCTCGTCTTCGCAATGGGTTACGCTCGGGTTACGTGCTTCCTGGCAACGGAGGCTTCTGGTGCGCCTGTGCTGCAGCGGTGGAGCAGGAAGCGACGGCATTGGTCCGTCAGGAGCTGCTGAGTCTTGCTACCACTCGCCTCATTGATCCATTGACTCAACTGGGTGTTATCCTGCTTGAGAACGCGGCGGCGAGCGATGATGAAGACGACTCGTTCTTTTCCAGACTGGCACGAGTCCGCACGGTGCAAAACCGGTTTACTCGGAGCGTCCTGGACGTGGGTGCTTCCAAGTTTTACTCGCGTTACTTCGACTTCCGAAGCGCAGAGTACGCAGTCTTGACACCCAAAACAACCGAGCCAGAGTGCGAAGACGGTCGACTTTCCCACGTGGACGAGTACGAATCCATGACCTCCGCCATTCGGAAGAGCTTTAGAGTGATCCAACTGCTTCTGAGTATCGATAAACACCACGTTAACTAAGACAAGGCATCTATCAGAGCAATTTCGAGTTGTGTTTACAGGTGGGGACATTCATTGACGCGGAAAATGGTGGTGATTATCTCCGCATGATGTCGGTTCTCCGAAGAACATTGGGGATTTTTGGCGTCAATAATTTGTAATTCTCCTTGGTGAATGTTTGCAATTTTTTTCTAATTCTTGCCATCCCAGTACCAAATCGTAGTGTTTGAAAATCACCCCATTTGAATGACTTTAGTTGAATATTTGAGTCGCTTCATTTCGCCACGATTTCTTCGTTTGCTGCCTGCGTCGCGTTCACGGCCGTGTCCCTGTATATTTCGTTCCTGCGCTCGTGGCTCACCACAGCTCTCCTGGAGGTGGCGCCGCTGTTTGAGTTCTTCCTGCGCGCATCGGTCGACGCCTACGTGGACTAGAGAAACATGGACGCGAGTCTGAAGGAGACCGAGTATGACGTGCTGCTCGTGGGTACAGGCATGGTGGAGGGAATCCTGGCAGGGTAAAGTTGCATTTTTTTTGGCTAGTTCTAAACGTTTCCCCACGTTTTGCAAATAAAGTGGCAACAACTGATTTTTTTGTGGGTTTGCTTGTCAACAAACAGCGCATTAGCACGAATCGGCAAGAAAGTGTTGCATCTGGATCAGGTTTGGCAAACTGCAAAAATGGCAGCAATTTAAAATTTCTCAAAATATCTCATGTTACTTGCATGTCAGAACGACTACTACGGCAGCAACTACGCGTCATTTCCGTTGACTCAGTTCCTGCGGTGGACGAAGAACGAGGCCATTGCCCCTCGCAATTTCGGTGACGAACTAGAAAATAGTGGCAAAGAGCCAGTTGCCAACGCAACTGCCACAATTGGCACGGCAACACTGCAGATGTTGCCTATGCAAAACTCCTTCGAGTGTCGTCTACTGGAAGAGGGTTTCTCGGACGACGCAACAAAAGAGGAGCTGTTGCAGAAATCCTCGCACTTCAGTATCGACGTGAATCCTCGCCTCATGTTGTCCTCGGAGCAACTGGTGGAGACGTTGATCACGTCCGGAGTGGGGAGATACCTCGAGTTTGCAGCAATTGAACGCACCTACGTGCACTTCCAGCCTTCCACTAAACCGGAGGGAGACACCGATACAGTGTGGGAAGTGCCGTGCTCGAAGAAGGATGTGTTCCAGAGTAAACTACTGGGAATGGTGGAGAAACGGCAACTCATGAAGTTTCTGCAGTTCGTGGCGGACTATGGCGAGACGCACATTTTGCACGAAGACGTCAAGACCAAGAACGAGCGCTCCTTAGCTCTCGGTCGAGCGCTTAAGAGGCCGCAGAACAAAGCCAGTCAAGCAGACACAGACGCCGAACTCGCTGCGTATCTCGACAATCCTTTCCAGGAACTACTGGAAAAGCACTTTAATCTCTCGTCAAAGTTGCAACAAGTGGTCGTGTACTGCGTCGGGTTGGCCAGTTTTCCCGCCACGAAGAACCAGCTTTCGGCTCGCGACGGACTTGCTGCGGTGTATCGCTACGTGGCGTCTATCGGACGCTTCACCGGCACGGCGTTCTTAGCGCCACTGTACGGGATCAGCGAGCTCGCGCAGAGTTTCTGTCGTCTTAGCGCGGTGTACGGCGGGATCTACGTGCTCAGAGCGCCGATTGACGCGTTCGTGCTCGATACCGAGACCAAGGAGCTCGTGGGCGTGCGGTGCAGTGACGGCGACGTCCTCCGTGCGAAACAGGTGGTGGCTAATGGAAGCTACGTCGACTGTCTTCGTCCATGTAAAAGCGTGTCGAAACGAGCTCATGGAGAGGTTTTACGAGGTGTTTTCGTGCTGAAATCTTCGCTGCGTGACGGTTCGAGTCGCTTGATGCTCGTTGTCCCGCCGGAAGACAGCGAGTTCGAGAACCCGTTTGCGATCCAGGTCGTCCAGCTTGATGTGGGGGCGTATGCGTGTCCGAAAGGGTTTTTCCTTGTGCAGATTTCCATGCCACTTCCCCTCGATTGGTTTAACCAAAGAGAGAGGCAACTAAAGTTGATGGAAAGAGTCATCCGACGTCTCATCTTAAGCGCAGAGGCTGAAACAGGAGCGAAATCCAAGGCAAAAGACGCGGAAGATGTACATGTTGCAGCTAGCGTGTCGGAAAATGATGCTACGGAGTCGGAATGGAGCGATCGGATCGCTTGGCGTGTCATCTTTACTATGGACCACCTCGCGTCCGGCGACATTGATGCCAGGGCGAAGACTGAAGAGCTTCCTACGAACGCGTGGGTGTGCGAGACGGTTACGGGGGGATTACGGGGGGTCAGTCCGTTAGAGATCCACTTAGAGAGTGCGAGCGCTAACGCCCGCGCCATCTTCGAGGTTCTGTGTCCGGGCGAACCGTTCTTGCCCAAGAGCGCGAGTGCAGAGCAGGCGGAGCAGGAAGAGCAAGAAAGCGAGGAGGACGCGGTGCTCCAAGCAGCGCAGAAGCTCGCGCAGCAGACGCAGCTGAGTGAGGAGCAAAGTGATGCTGGTAACAGTAACAGGGTTGGTAAGGTAGATGCCACTGAATCTGCTGCAGCGGAAGAGAGCCAACAACAAAGCGACTAATAGCTAGAGCGTCTCTAACGACCACTGAGGTGGTTCGAACTAATGAAAAGGCAACACGGATCGCTCAACTTACCATTATTCTCCAGCAGAGTACCATGTATCACAACCGAAGGGTAACCGTAAACATTCACCTTGAGTGATGTCACGACGTACGAATCGCAGTTCACGCTAAGCGTTGTGTAACCTACATGTACATTATACCCTCGTCATAGATCGTCGTCTCGCCTTTTACCTCCGTTGCGTGCGTTCTTGTAGATCTTCGTCCAGGTTTCTGCCTGATCTCGATCTCCAATCGTCACTGAGCTGAAGTTGAGTTGCTTCAGATGCGGGAACGACGCGATGACGTAGTTGCGGTAGTGCTTCTTCTCCTCCAGCGGGTTCCCGTGCAAGCTGATCGAGTGCAAACGTGGCAGCCACTTGGCAAGTGCGTCGATGTCCGAGTATTTGCTCAATAAATTCCCGTGAAGGTGCAACGTGAACAGCTCCGGATACGCCGAGAACGCGTCGGGCGGAATGCTCTCCAGTGCATTTCCCGATAGATCCAGCCACTGCAACTTCTCCGGGTAGTCAAACACAGCACAAAGAGCTCCCTGCATGTCGTCGAGGCTGAAGATCTTGTTGTTGTTCACACGTAGCGATACCGACGTCTGTCGCTTCTTGGTTGGTGACGTTCCAGCTGCAGTCGCCACGTCGACACCCGTCGGTGAAGCGAGGCCGTCACCACTTCGTGTCGTTAAGCCAGCAGCAGCTAACGACTTCTTGGTGCCGCTCACGGGATCATGCTGTTGCATTTCTATAGAGAATGGAAGTCAGCTTTGTGAAATTTATAAAGACACGAATGGTTCGCAACCTGAGAGCGACGTGAGCCCCATGAACGAGTAATCCAGTGGCACTACTGCAGCCTGACGCCGTGGCATCCCGGCTTTCTTCGGAGAACCGGCACCAGCAGTCGGAGAGGTCGCAGCCATTGGAATTGAGAGCTGAGCTAGCAAAAGTAAAGACACCATGCGGCCTCAAAATAGTGGTGAAGGAAGAGCTGAAATAGATGCCTTGTCTTAGTTAACATGGTGTCTATCGATACGCAGAAGCAGTTGGATCACTCTAAAGCTCTTCCGAATGGCGGAGGTCATGGATTCGTACTCGTCCACGTGGGAAAGTCGATCGTCTTCGCCCTCTGGCTCGGTTGTTTTGGGTGTCAAGACTGCGTACTCTGCGCTTCGGAAGTCGAAGTAACGCGAGTAAAACTTGGAAGCACCCACGTCCAGGACGCTCCGAGTAAACCGGTTTTGCACCGTGCGGACTCGTGCCAGTCTGGAAAAGAACGAGTCGTCTTCAACATCGCTCGCCGCTGCGTTCTCAAGCAGGATAACACCCAGTTGAGTCAATGGATCAATGAGGCGAGTGGTAGCCAGACTCTGCAGCTCCTGACGGACCAATGCGGTCGCTTCCTGCTCCACCGCTGCAGCACAGGCGCACCAGAAGCCTCCGTTGCCAGGAAGCACGTAACCCGAGCGTAACCCATTGCGAAGACGAGAAATCGTCTTGACAGTCTCGTTTCGTAGCTCCTCAGCTAGAGATTTGGTGGGTCCTTGCACAATGACGGAGGTGTGTGGTTGGTGTCGTGTATTGGACTGCGTAACCTGTATGAAGCAGGTTGCCAGTTCGTCGTCCTCTAGAGCTTTACTAACGGAAAAGTTTACTGCGTTCAGCTGGAGACTCTCGTGACCGATGGCATTTGGCAAAAGCTCTTCCCAGGAGTCCACAATTTCAGCTCCACTTATCTCTGCGAGTTGCCGTAGTGCATTGTAGGAAGACACTGGGATAATGAGCGGAGCCTTGGGAGTAGACACAGATGCGTCGATCACGTTTGAGCTAACGTCACCGTGCACAAAGATGACGTGAAAGGAAGCGTCCATACTGAAGTCAAGAGTGTCCAGGTCTCCGGCAAGAGCGACTATGCCTCCGGTAATGGATATTTCGCCACTTTGGGAAAATCTGCGTCTCAAGGCATTACGAGGAGAACCTTCTGTGACGGGGAGCAGCACACCGTCGAACACTTGAGAGCTACTAGCTGACGTCACACCTCCAAGCACGACGCTACTTGTTACGAGATCCGAAAGAGGTGCGTCCTCTGCGCCAGAGAGCCGAATCGGATCAAGCCTCGAGGCCGCTGTCACCGCCAAAGACGTGGCGATCGATTCAGTGCTGAGTATCTTCCCCAAAGCCTCCAGTTGACGTGTCCAAATTAACGATCGGAAGGTTGGAACGGCTTCAGTAAGAGGAATTCGCATGTGCTTGGCGGTCTACAGCACTTTGGCTCTTAGTTTACGGTTAACCTAACAACAACAGCATACCATCTCACCGTTAAACAGCATTTCTCGACCGAAGACAGTGCAAGCTGGATAACGCCACTACAAAGCTGTCAGTCACAGTTTACCCAGGTGTTCGGTTCGAGTAGTCCTACGCTGGTACACCCTGACGCAGGAGCTCAAGAACTGTGTCTGCCAACGCGCCACACAACGTCACTATCGTCGTACAGCTCTGAACACATACGACCTCGTCAGCCAACGCTACAAACACATCGCAAACGTTCACGTACCGTGCCGAACTCTTTCCGCTGCTCATCCAGCGCTTGCTGCAGGATGGCGGTGCCTGCATTCTGACTCTGCAGTGCGCTCGCCACAGTATACGCGTCTGCAGAGAACAACGTCTGATCCAGCTCATCTGTGCACATACACGTTAGCACGATGACGACCACAGAGCAAGACGCAAAGTATATACCTGTGACCTGCTTGCGCAGCTTATTAGGACCGTACAGCGATCGAACAGTGCGTGCCACACCCGCGACAGCTTGCAGCAGCACAATCGAGTCCATCGTCGTATCTTTCACCAGTCGAATAGTCGCCGCCACAACCTTGGCTTAGACCTTCATATTGTCCAAAACGAACATACATTTTATTTAACAAACCAAACCTACGCCAGTTCAAACCAAATCAAAACAACGCGCAAACCTGCCGGTTCGTTGGTGGACCCTGTTTCGGTTTAAATAGCCAAACCATTGCAAGAATTTACGGTTTAAACCCGCCTCGTTCCTTCGCATTGTACAATCGGTACTTGCCGAGATACGACGATGCACACGTCGACAGCAATTGTTGTCCATGAAGATAACGATGCGATTTCGTTCGAGGAACCGCGCGTTGATAGTTTCGAGCAAAGAGTGCTGATCAAAGTTCCGAGTCGGAGCTTCCGACCATAGTGCAAATCAACGGTTTGCCCAAGATGATGTCTTTCTGAGCAACTCGGAAAATGCCATTAAGGGAAGAGTTTTGCAGCTCGCAATTATAAAAAAAACTTCAAGCGATACGCTTAAATAGTGCTTTGGCTACGTTCGATTCGACCATCAATTCATACAGCTCATCCCACCCCACTAGGAACGTGCTACCGGCGGTCGAGCCTGACTATTGAATTTTTTTTTTGCTGTATCCATCTTGCTCCACGAGAAAAAAGGTTTCCTCGATGATGTCAATCAAAGATCCGCGATTGGAAATTTGGTGTAGAGCTCACATTAACCAAATTGACACTCGAACCCCGAGTTAGCTCAGAGATGTGCCCCCACAATTGAGCAGCGCCTTCAGTGAAAATGAAAAAAAGTAGACTAAAACTAAATCAATTTTCGCTTGGAGGGGCGATGCCATACCTTGAGCACAAACAATAGGGCCTTCGAGACCAACCCAGTGATTCAATTACAGCCAATAGTTCAATCTAAAAGGAAAACCTTACAGCCAGCTGCAGGCAGCACGTGTGGCTACGTCGGAAACGATCTGAGAAAGATCTTTGGGGCCAAAAGAGAGCAGCTGTGAAGAAGAACATAATCGTGAGTACATCCCTTCTACCACCATAGGCTGATATAAAAGCAGCAATGCAATAGAAAGCTCGTTCTTCAGCTACAGACGAATTGAAATATCAGCTTGCAATTTAGGAGAGCCTGTGGTGCTGGAAATTCCACGCGATCTTTAGCTACAAGTGTAGATCGGTAGGCTCTACAACAATACGCCTACCGTAACGGCAAACGATCGTCCGGGTGGAGCTGAAGACCCCAGTTCTGCGCTGTCACCGGGACATAGTAGACCTTGCAAATCGCTTATAAAAGCCAACCAGTGATAATATTAACACGCTACTAGCACGGGCAAAGCTAGCAGTGATTTTAACCTCGTGACTCCAATAGCGGCAGGCACAGGTAAATATTTTACAAGGCGCCAAGTCTCAACGCTCGGGGGGGGGGGTGTATATGGGAGGCAACACGCACTCCCAGTCGTGCAAATCTGCAAGAAAACGTCGTCACAAAAGCCTGCCGATATATAATCGGCCAATTCACTCACAGTCTTTTGGCCTTGCCAACTGAACCCTCGCTAGTAAGCTTAAATTCCACCGCGAGGCATAACACACACAAGTAAGCTTGACCAGATGCTTACCTCGAAGCCGGACCTCGCTTGTGCACTTGAGTGAATATTCTGCTCTGTATTGTGTTGCGCTTTTGAGTCTATTCCTAATAAGTAAACTTAAACATGAATACTAATATCAAGTAAACTACGATCTGTTAGTGCTCTCTTCGCATGCCAACCGACGCTTGAGTCGTCACCCCCCCCCAAACGACCATTGAGCGTTCAAACAGTCGTCTGGCCTTCGCAAGTGTCACTTCAACCGCCACCGAGTGTTCGTACCGTGGTTCGTCAATTTAGTGTCACTGAATGTGAGTCCGGCCAATCCCAACGTTACTAATAAGGACGGTTTGGGTTGGGCGACATCTTGGTCACCATAGACGCCCACCGAATAATCGGTAGTGACATTACCGAACCCTTGACACCTCTAGATCTCTTCCTCGTGAGCAACTTGATGAGGCGCGTCCATGTCTACTGATGGTGTTCCGCGGCTTTAAGAGAAAGACTGCACAGCAATTGCCCCTGTCGCAATAGAAGCCACGGTGCCTGTTGTGACATTGCGTTATTTTCCAATTATCCACGCAGCTTCACCTTGGAAAATATACCTCAATCCCGCGATCAACAAAGCGTGGCGGTCCCTCGTCACTCCTGGAACCAGAGATGCAGCTCGACTGGAGGCACGTTGCACAATCCTTAGCATAAAATCCTCGCCCATCACATCTCAAACACTCGGCGAGAAAAATCGTCGGCTCTCATTCAGCCAGCTCTATTAGACCCTCCGCATCTAATGAACTCTGGTTCAACGCCACCACATCCTGCCGAAGACACTTCAGCACCCCTGCCTGCGTCGGAACGTACGTTAGTACCGACAGTAGGCCATAGTAAGATCCTCCGACCCTCATCGTGGATTTGCTGCGACATCTTCTCGTTGAGACCATGAGCGTGCCTTGCTGGATCAGCTGCTGCGGTACTTGACTGCTATGGTCGGCAACCACGTGCAGCTCAGCGTGACACCGCCATCGCATGGTGACGTGGCCTCTCAGCGTCGACTTGATGCTACGCTCGGCTTTGACGACGTGCTGCGTGCTGCTCGACCTCTTCCGAGCTCTTTGTCTGATTTTCCTCACTACGTGGGCGAGCTCATTGCCAAGCTCAGCTCTGTTGAAGTCGAGTTAGCTGCAGCTAAGTTCGCCGTTGTTCCCGAAATGATGGCACGTGAGACCGCCCCATAGCTTTTCCAGATGACATTTAGCGAAAGCCGAGTTGCTGGAGAAAGAAAGATCCCAGGTGGATGAAGACCAGTTTTGAAGAAAGCGAAGGCTTTTCGCTTTTTTGGTAGGCTAGGTCGTCCGCCATATGTCTTTGATCGCCACCAGCCGAAAATAGCGATGTGCAATTTATGTAAGAAATGCAAAAAAAGCAGAAAAATCGTTTTCTTATTTTTAATATTACCGCTAAATTAAGTTATTTAGTAAGAAAAAGTGACGAGCCACAACCAAAACGGAAGACAAGCAAGAAGGATCTTCAAACAACCATTCCCTGGTGAGCTTGAACGTTTAGCTAACCATTTGGGACCTCCACCGTAGAACATGACCGTATCTCGGATGCGGAGCGGGCTGCTAGACTTGTCTTAAACGTTGCCGTCCAAGTCTGATCCCTGGCGGCGCTGTCAAAGGCGCTTGTGAAGCACGACTTGATGAGCAGCTATAGCCAAAGCCGCTGGTACGGCGTGGGTCTCATCTGAAGACGCGGCCTCCGCTTCAATACGCTGTAGGGCCACGTCTTTCGATCCAGATTCGGATCAGCCTGATTCAGCTCGCCGGCAGCTAAACATGTCACGAGTGCTAACGAGCGATCATTAGTGGGTGCAATATCGGTAAGGCTATAGCGTACCTTGTGCAGCAAGAATAAAAACTCAAAATCCACGCCAGCGAGGCTCACATGGGCACAGCTACTTCGGTTGACGCTGTGGAGATGGAGGTTGCACTTCTAACGCTCTTCAATTGTCTGAGCCACACCAGGCGACACGGACTTGCCTTTACCATCCTTAACAAGGAGAGCATGAAGCTGACGAGTCTGCTTGGTGTTGGAAGCGATGGCAGCCTTGAGCTTCCCTCGTTCATTCCTGATTGTTTTCCTGCTGGGTCACGATGGTGCTATCGCGCTCAGTAATTTGGGTTGCCTATATTTTTAAGTCATTCGTCTCATGAAAGACTTTTTTGGTTAGGTTTTCCTTCCAAAATGTTCCGTCAGGCAGATTTCTCCGGCTGGCTTGAGGGGTAACGGGGTAAGAGTT